TGGCTGTGTTTGTGAAACCACCCCAAACCCAGTGTATTTTTTTTTTTTTTTTTTTTTTTTTGCAAGAATGTAAAATGGGCCAACGTGGACTAACAGCCAAGGAACTGAGAATAAATGAGAAGTATAATAGTACAAAACTTTGTTTGGATGCTTAAAGCAATCAAAGCATGAAACAAAAGAAAGGAACGGTGATAAAAACTGGGTGCCACAAAATTGCTTAAACCCCTGAAGTTATGAATTCGTTTCTGAATCAATTTAACGTTGCAGGCATTTTCCAAACATCCTCTTGCGGGAGTAACAAGACAAGGAAATTGATCCGGTGAGACCTCACCTCTCGGTGCGCCTTAATAAAAGAGACATCAGCCTCTCTCGACGACTGTATAATTTTTAATATATATGCAATAAATGTTCAATTTGTTTCCAGAAATGACGGGAAATAATAACGTCAAATTTTAAAGGCATCCATTACAGCCAAACGATGCTCTGACTCAGAGTGCTTTGATTAATTCACAGTTTGATTGTGTTTGATAAAGCAATAAGGCTACAACGCCTGATTTTGGACCATTTAGACTATTTTCTCTTCTAGAAAACAAATGTGAAGGTGGCTGTGTTTTGGAAGTGCTGAACTGCAGGAGTGCTTAAAGATGAATTTCTACACAAATTATCCAAATAATGAATGACATCTAATTCTAGGTCACTTGTACATTAGGCTAATTTTTTTTTAAAAGCCTCTAGAAAACAAATATTAATTTTATTGAATTGGTAAGAAATTCATTAATTTCTTGAATAAATTTAAATATTTTGATTGCATGCCTAAAGTGGCCTGGTTAGAGCTTGGTCTGAAATCTAGAGATACCCAGTGGAGAGAGTAAGACTCGTTGCCGTTTCCAGGCGTCCTTCACAGTCCTCTGCAGACTCTTATGAAAATGTACCATAGTTGACCTAATGTAGTATCAAATACATTTAAAAGGATGATATAGAGATGTAAAGAAACTGCCCTTAATACTCCAGACAGTCTCCAAGATCACTGTAATCTTGCCATAAAAACACGACAAGTCCCTGTAGAAACATGTTAAATTTAGGGGGTATTTTTAAATACCTACTGAATTAAAGGTCACACTCAGTTCAGATCAGTTTTAGTGTCACATTAAAAGTCCCTTTAAGAATATGATTGTTTCCAACCTGGTTGCAGATCATATGTTCAGATGAAAACAATGCAGGTAGCAGGAGGCCGGGGGTCTCAGATCACTGTAGACCTTGACACAAAATGCATTAAGTTGGCTGATTGCTCTCAAAACCTTTGATTAATTCCCTCCCATTCAAACCCAAGCAAGCAAGGAGTGGAGGGACGTGACCAATGACATAATAGGCTCTGTCAAACAGCCTTGCAAAACGCCCAGACCATTTGTGGTGACAATCCTGATGCCATCAGTTCCATTATAGGCCCCCATTCAAACCAGAAACAAACATAGCTTTACTCCCATAAAGGGAAAAGTCAGCTTTCTGGTAGATCGCCTTTGCTTTCTATGTCAATAGTTTTTGGCTCAGGGCTGATTGTGGATATCAGACTCCCTCCAGCCTTTATAGAAGTAACTAAGCAGACAACAATGTGCTTTTATCAATAAAAATAAACCTGTGCACTCCAAAGGTAGGACCATTTGCTCCTAATACAATAATTTAGTCATTTTATTTTGAAAATATATATATAAATCCAGCTTTTATTTTTAAAGAAACAAAAACGCTCTTTCCTGAGAATACATAAAAAATATGAATACACATATTTCCTGTTAAGGGATGTGCACTGCATTAAGATTGAACTTTGATTTGAAATCTCATTTCCTTTCATTTTTTAAATCACATCAGTGATAATTACATGATTCAAAATCAAGATTTCAGTGGAGGTTTTGCACACAAGCAGAAAAATGCAAAATGCATTTTTTTTTTAGATGATGGAAGATTTATAGGGTTTCTGGGTGTATAAATCTACTCAGTATAGTGAAGACCATGAACAAGAAGTGCAGGAAATGTCTCAGCACAAGAACCTTAAGCCAGAATCTTTTCTATGACGTGGATGACTTGTATAATAGGAAGATGCTCCTGAAAAATAACGGCCATGTTAGAAAACTGAAACACTTCTGTAAAAAGACAAAAAAACAAACAAACAATGTTTTAGAAATGGTTTCCTCATATGAAGGTAGAACAATTAAGTAGCCTGTTGGTGCTGGGCACACCTAAGTCTCTCAAAACATTTTGGGCAATGCTGCACAGAATAATGAATTAAACTCAGTAAAATCAAAGGGACATGTTTGTTCACCTCAAACACTTTACAGATAATAATTTATTAGAAGCAATGTCCTATTTTGTTTAATAGTTTTCTTATACAATGTGATTTTATTTTAAAAAAACATGTCTTAAAGTCCAAATGACAAAGACTATTTAACTCAAGTTGCTTTCAATATAATCAATCAGAGCCTTGATCTTCATCCTTCGCAAAATCTCATGATGAAATGTTTGTAATTATACTTCAAGGATTAGTTTTACACTAGCGATGAAAACGACAACGTGCCAATATTTTACTTTTTATTTTGAATAGTTATTTTTTTATTTAAAGCCTCAAAGAACTATATAGCCCATAAATTGTATAATTAATCGTATTGTATGTAGAAATCAGTACCGTCCATCAGGTACTGGTCTTGTGAGACGCCTTCTCAGATCAGACAACAAACAGATAAAAGACAGAGAAGTCTGTTGATGTTTCTTTATTGTTTCGTTAGCCGGTTTGAAGGAATTTCGCCGTGTTCTTCTTTTCGTCCCTATCAAACCGACTCTTCGTCTTCCCCGTTTGTCCTGGTTTTCATCCTGTTTGCTTTGGCCCGAGCTCCAGAGACTGAGATGGAGCCATTACAGGCGCCTTCATTCGTCCATACACGACGGTTTATTTCTGAGACGCCTTTCATTTGTCATTCACTTTCCTCTCTGTCCGTTTCTGTTCAAAACTGTTGATGCAGAAGCCTTAGATGAAAATAAAAACTCGGGCGGATTAAAGAAAATAGATTGGAAATCTTTTTCGATAAGAATATGAAAAACACGATTCGATTTAATCCGAAAAAGGCATTAATGTTATTATAATATTATAAATGTAGGCGTAATAATAATAATAATTGATCAAATGTACGTAATTTTCAAACTGCTGTAGCCCACATTTGATGCAGCAGCATCATTGACTGGTGCACAGGTAAAAGAAATTGCTCAGAATTGTTGGCTTTGCGATGTCCTGAGGGAAAATATGAAAACGATGGCGCTTATCCCAAGTGATTTATCCTTTAAATAAAATGTTTGACACTGGTAACATTCAGCCTTATAAAAGATATTTAGACTAACCAGTATAGGCTAAGGTTAAACACTGATAATTAGCTTTTGTCAAATCTTTTTTTATTTTCAGATCATTAAAAACAGGATATTACTAAGAGAACAGTTATTACAAAAGGAGACAACCCTTCGTTGATAGACACCCTGTGGCTCTGGTCATCAGCAGCACCTTGGGTTCCATATGTGTCTGTTAAAGCATCTGTATTTAGAATTCAGTAGTGCATGGTCTATTACTTTCTCTTAAAATGTATCAAAGCATCGCACAGTTCTTCTCCAGGACTCTGAGCAAATTAGAACTCGGGCAGAAAATGTTGTCTCATTTAAATTCTCACCTTGAGTTCTCTGGTGACTGGTAATGATCCGAAAGGAGCTGACGCTTAAAAAACCAAGGTCTATTCTCACTGTACGCGTCTGAAGAGCTTTGTGATTCTCAACAAACTAGACGACAGTGTAAAAAAAAAACTAAATAGTGATAACGTCTTTGCAGCAGGCAGGCAGAATCATCAATTAAACATAAAAAATGCATGCATGGCAGGGCACTGCAGCCTTACTTACTCTGTGTGGTGTGCTGAGTCTCCGCAGTTTAATTACAAGCCCTAATTTCCAATCGCAGATAGTGTCAAAAAATCTGCGACTATTTCTCAGAGATTCCCTTTAACAAGTGGAAACTTTGTGTCCTCCTGCACCATTTTATACATGATGAGCCGTCAGTAATGGGATTATTAAACAAAAACGTTTCAGGCGCTGGCGTTAACTTTTTTTAATGCCTAATTAGGTTTTGCAAAGAAATAATTAGATTCTACGGTGCTTACACTGTCTATATTTTCAAATAGCATCTGCAGCAAACATATCATCCTGCGACACTAGTGCCAATAATCTGCGGATATATGCGCCACAGTAGCAGTCAGATGTAAGATTTTAAAACATGTTGTGACCAAAAAGGTGCACTTAAAGCTAAGATAATTATCCAACACAGCCTACAAGCCAACCTGCAGCACTATGATAGTTTGGACGGGTCAGCCCTCTTGTGGTAGCCCACCATATAACATGTAAAATCAGATCGTTTGGATAAAAATAGTGAGGACGCAAATATTTGACAAGTCTGCTCTTTTGAAATGTTATCCATTTACCAAAGACCCTAATTATCTTCTGGAAAGACGTGTAGTTTAGCTGCAAATTTAGAGGAGTCTGTTTCTGATGTACAAAGTGGGCGTTGACACTGCCGCAGACGACGTCTGCAGGTTTCCCTGTCTTCAGCTGTGATGCTCAGAAATAATGATCGTGACGCTCAGTTGATCTCCAGAATATTATTAGTTTAGTAAAACCACCCTAGACGCAGTTAGTGGAATTTTTTAGACAGCAGAAAAACGAGCCAATCCTGTTGTATTTTATTTTTAAAAATGTATTTATTTGTCCACTAGGCGGGTGTATTGCCCATGGATGTAAGTGTTGTCTGTGATTTAATATGCGCGATGTCTTTCTCTTTCATTGTTGAGACAGGATTAGTAAATATGATATAGGTTTTTGTGTTTTGTTATGATTTTATTCATTCCTGGAATTCAGATACCACTGCAACGACTGTACACACTCCGATACAGTAGGTGGCGGTATGCATGCCAATTCTTGATTCGCATTCCGCCAGGAAACAAAGAGAAAGGGAAGGAGAGGTAATTCTCTTCTCGCTCCAGAAGGTCACCTGATCATATACTTGAGTCTGCCACTTTGAATATAGCCGAGCACACACGGGAACGCCTCGACGCTGTAACACTGGTAGGCTGTATGTTTTATTACAGTTGTGTGTATATTACCGACAGTATTGTTTCTTTATGTGTGTCTTTAAACGGCCGGGACAGCTAACGTTAGCAGCAAGGATAACAGTTCAACATAAATCCCTGAGCTAGATGGATAACGTTAGCTGAGACGGTAGCTGACATACTAGTAACGATAGTAACAGAATATTCTAGACCCACCTGCTGCTAAAGTTAGCTGATGCTACATTAGCCTGAATGAGATGTGCACAAACGTCCTTTCTGTTCTTTTACATACTTAAGTCTGAACTGATCCGCTTTGAACAGTAACTTAGTATCCGGTTAGCTTTTTCCACTGGCATAAATCCTCCATTTAATAAAGTGGCGTTAGTGTCAACTTAATCAAAGTTACGAAGGCTAGATTAGCTAACACTGCTAACTGCAACTTCCACTTCAGTCAGAGCAAATGCAGGAAATCTGTATTTCCTAAAATCATACAAAACATTTAGTGTAGTATCCTTAGTGTGCATTAAAATGTTTTAAATACTTTGTTAAACTTATTTTCACATATATTCTCCTGCCTTCTGTTGGGAATAACTTTAATGTCAATGCTAAATTCTTTTTGTGTTGGGTTTCGGACTGTTTTGAAACCTTAGATTCCTATAAACGAAAACTGGTATTGTTGCGGCAGTGGATTGTGCTGAAGGAGGTTTAACTAGTAAACTGTAACTAATCGGCTTGTGTGGAGTTTCATTGAGCACCATCAGACCTGTAGTAATCACTCATTTCAGCTTTACTAGGATATATTGTCCCAACTGGTTTTCCATTGTACTTTAACACTTTGGCCTGTGTGGTTGGAGCTTTAATTGCTGACTTAATTAAACTATTACTCAATTTATCAGAATAGTTGCTTATTTATCTTCTGTTAATTGGTCAATGAGTGAGCATTACAATTAGAAACAAACATTCAAACACGATTCCTCTAAAAACTGACTCATAATTGTGAGACTAGTGGATGGTTTTTGATAATCCTGAATTTTCTCCCAATTCCTAGTCAGTATTTCTTCATAATGTGACTGTTCTATTCTACAGAAAGACTCCCACTCCCAAAGATGGCTGACGGAAACCAACAAAGCCCCCCTCCACAGCTAGGGCCTGCGGTAAGTTGGCTGATTGACCTACACTCTTATATTTTGCAATTATTTCTCACCCCTTACAATGAACTGTACAAATTGTAAACACAAAGATATTCATCATAAAGACTTCTGCTTGACCTTCACAACATTTCTGTAATGTCTAGAGTGGCTCAGATGGGAACTTTCTAAAGTTTGCTGAGATGGTGTGGGTATGGTTATCTGAAACTGGGTTGAGACTTAAATGTTTCCACACAAAACTTGCATTACAAACTGGGGGCTCAGAGTTTCAAAGCTGTGGATACTTGCCTAACAGTGAGAGCCTCACAGAACACACTGAGGGACATTATGGAAGCTGTTTAGTGTTTTTGGAGCTTAGACAGGGCGGCTGTTGCTCAGGAGGTAGAGCAGGTCGCCTCCCAGCCAAAGGGTTGGCGGTTTGATTGCTGGTTTCTCCAGTCCACATGTGCAAGACACAGAACCCCTGTGTGTGTGTGTGCGCACACTTGGGAGTGTGAAGGGAAAAGTAGTGTGAAAGTACCGTGAGTGTGCTGCAATGCATAGAAATGTGCCATACAAGTATAAGACCATTTACCATTAGACCATAGTGAGGATTCAACGTCAGGATAGTTTGACCTCTGATTTTGACAAATGCTTCTAATCTGCACCTTGCACTGTCACTAGAGTTTACACTCTTACAAAACTACAGTGCCTATAGCACTAGCTCTTATGTTTATTCACATTACATTTATCATTATCCACACTTTGTGGAAATCTCAGTATTCAGAGTTTGTCACATTTTCATTACTAATTGTAGATTCTGAGTTTCTCAATTGAAGGTGATAACTTTAGGGCTATTGTACTGAATTGCTAGCCTATAAATTATATAATTTGATCCTTAGATTTTGGGATAATGTGTGCATTTTTGGGCAAACTGTATGTATGTAGAACCTGTTTGAAATACAAGATGGCAGTAAAATTAACTACTAGATTGAATTAATCAGAATCAGCTTTATTGGCCAGTTGTGTTGGACACAAGGAATTTGACTCTGGTACAGCGGCTCTTAATTGATTTTGTATTTTTAGTTTAGCTGCTTTTTTTTGACTGCTGAGGGAAGCAGAGTGAAACTCTGAGCCTTTCAGGAGATCAGTTTCCATTATACATGGGAAAATAAAGTTCATCCTGTCATTTGAAATGCCCAGATGCTATAGCTGCCAGCAGAGGTGACCTAGTACTGGCTTGGATCTCTAGCACAATTAATATTACATATCCATCACTTGCATAGTTACTTCATAGAGAAGGAGCAGTTCAACACCTGGCATCATGTTTCCTTTCTACTTTCATATGCCTAAAACTCCTTTCTTCCACAGCAATTTTTAATGAGCAACAAGCTAGAAACTGCAATGTGGTTGTCACGACTCTTCACCGTCTACTGCTCTGTCATGTTTATTTTGCCAATCTTGGGGTGAGTACACTTAGTAGTAACCCAGTGTTCATATACTGAAATTGTAAAGCATATAGAAAATGTTATACGAGGAGTGATTAGATCAAGAGTTTACAACAGTGCACTGCTTTCACCTTGCTCTCGTTTCCCAGCCTGAGATATAATATTTGTCCACTGCTTGTTTGCTCTAGACCTTATGCAGCAGCTAACTTCTACCAGAGAGCTTTGTTGGCGAATGCACTCACCAGTGCCCTTCGCTTACATCAAAGGCTTCCACGCTTCCAGCTGAGCAGAACGTTCCTGGCCCAGGCTCTGCAGGAGGACAGCTGCCATTACCTGCTCTACTCACTCATCCTGGTCAACTCCTACCCCATCACAAGTATCCTTGCACCTTAGAATACACAGAAAAAAAGCTTGAAATAATGAAGATGTATCATTTGGGTGCTGCTAACAATGCTAATCTGGTTTGTGGAAATGTATCAATACAAAATCTTCCTTAATTCAAAATGCTGCTGCTCGTTTACTGACAAACGCGTTTAAATAAGACCATATCTCAACTGTATTGACTTCCCTTCATTGGCTCCCGCTTCCCTTCAGAATCAAATTTAAGTTACTGATTTTTTGTTTTAAGTGGTTTGGCACCCCAGTACCTCAGCAGTCTCATTTAATGGCATTTCCCAGTGGGAGATCACTTGGATCTCTAACTGGTTCCTAAGGTCCGTCACAAACGATCGGGCAGCAGGGCTTTTGCCTTCATGGCCCCAAAGCTCTGGAATGACTTGCCTTGTAATATTAGATCTGCTTCAGAATTGGCTGTGTTTAAATCCCTCCTTAAGACCTTTTTGTTTACTAAGGCATTTGATTCTTAATGGAGTCTATTTATTGTTGTTTGCTCTTATTCTGTCTAGTTTGTTTTTTTACTTGTTTTAATTTGGTCTTTCTCTTCATTGTGTGAAGCACTTTGGTCAACCAGATGTTGTAAAGTGCTTTATAAATATATTTTGATTTGATTTATTTAGTACTGATTCTATTCAGCACAGACATAATTTTTTTCTTTGTGTGCCAATTATTACTTACATTTCTGTTTTGAATATTTGTGATATTTCTCCAAAGACTAACTGTAGGCTTTCTGTGCTGTCCTAACTTTCTGCACATTCAGTGGCTCTGATGATGGACGTTCGTAATGTTGTGACTTTCAAGATGATGGGAAATGCTTCAATATCACCAAATCACAATTTTTTTTAAACATCAAAACATATAATTATTTCTCACTAACAATTATGGGGCCCAATTAACAGAAGTCATAATTTTGGAAAGTTTTTTTTATTATTATTATCGATCCTTAACATTTATCTCCAGTGAGCATCTTCCCAGTCTTCCTCTTCTCTTTGCTTCATGCAACTACCTACACAAAGAAAGTCCTTGATGTGAGTATGAGGTCACCTGCTGTAACTTTCTACCTAATTTGTAGAAGCAAAGCATCGTTTTGCGAAGCAAAAGCTTATGATTGGTGATTTCCTGTACATTTACTTCTGTGTATCAGGATTCCATGCAACCATTGCGCCTCAATGGGAACTTAATGCATCTTTGTTGTTGGCTTCTGACATTTTGTTTTTACCTACAGTCCGTGGGCCCTAACAGCATGATGTTCATCAGAAACATCCTGGACAAACTAACATCCAATCAGCAGAACATCCTGAAGTTCATCGCCTGTAATGAGATCTTCTTGATGCCAGCCACTGTCTTTATGCTCTTCAGGTATGCTCACAACTCATTTATCGTTTTATGACAATTTGTAAGTACACCTGGATCAATGATACTGTTGCAAGTACTGAAAAAACAATAATGAATAAAACTGCAGGCAGGTTTTCTTATCAAAATATTCATAAGGGCACACAAAATTTGCCTCAATACAGAGAGATAAATGGCTTTTTTAAATCTAGAAGTACACAAAAATGCAAATTTTGAAACTAATGTAAATGAGTTTCTAAAATAACTGTAAAAATCAGTCTGAAATGTATCTCTGCCAACAGTGCATGTCAGCTTCCACGGTGGTTTGATCATTCTTTTCATAAGCAAATTTTCAGTTCAATGTGCAAAGAGACCACATAGCTGTTGTGTTGTATTATCTTATACAGGTGTTTCATTTGTTTGGTGTAATTGGATATTTACAGCATTGAATAATCTGCAATTGTAAAAGTAAGGTTTGTGTTGATTACAGTGGCCAGGGAAGCTTGCTGCTGCCTTTCATTTACTACAGATTCCTCACTCTCCGCTACACCTCCAGAAGAAACCCATACTGCCGGTAAGAAGTTGAATAATAGTGTTATGACAAATCATTAGTATTTATCTTGGTGAACTATACAACATGCTGGTCATTACTGCTATCAAGTTCTCATTTTTATTTTTCCCCTTTTTGGCTACTGCTTACCCAAAATATTCATTTGACCAAAAAAAACATGTTACACCTATCATGAAATGAAAACATCAAAAATAATTAAATCCCTATAATAAAGGGTATGTTTGAGGCCATGGAAACGGGGTATGTCCTTTCTGCCAACATAATGTATCATTGGGCTGTAGTTAAGTTGCTGCAGCCAGGTATAGGAGTACAAGAAGACAGAAAATTCAAATTGCAGTGCAATGCATCATTTATTAGAAACCTATTTAATCAGTATCAAGAAAAATGTCAATGGCTTAGAAAACTAAAAATAACAAACTATATTTTTATAAAGTCAAACCAAAATACTCCTGGTTGTAATAAAACGTCATTTGCTGTGTGACTTGATAAGAATTTTGCTCAGACTGCTTGATAGCTGAGCGATTTGACCTCGTGTAGCACCGTTGTCTGCTATTCAGAAATACTAAAACTTAGAATGGCTTCACTGGGCAGTCAACATGCTGTATTAAACACATCTGTTTCCACCCCAGCACCTTGTTCACGGAACTGCGAATTCTTCTGGAGCACTTCATTATGAAGCCTGCCTGTCCCGCCTTCTTCAGGAGAATGTGCCTCAGCAGTATCGCCTTCATCAGCCGCCTCGCCCCCACGGGGGTCTGATCACTCTGTGTACAAGTTTTGTTTTCCTTTCTTGCCATTTAGGATGTGACTTAAATTTTGATGGGGATGGACAATGTTATCAACAGAATGTTAACTTTACAATCTGTGCTCCAGCTGCTCTGTATATTTGAGTACACCTGAAGAACAGCCAGTAATGCACTGAAGTCTCATTGTATTTCTTTTCCCATCTTCTTAATGTGACTGTTTTCAGTTGGACATTCCTCACTTTTGTTCACTGAGTGGAGCACAGTACACATCAGCTTTGTGCTCTGTGTATCAACTGTTGTTTTCCCCTTTTATATCCTTATTTATTCATGACATCACATTCTAAGATTAACTTAAATAAATGTGTATCTAATTTTAAAATGTTTTTTTTTTTTTTTACATTGTGCTTGGATGGCTGAAGGATAGGCTTTGTTTTCAGTTGCTTCTGATGCTCTGATTTGTCCAGATGCCCAAGTTAAAATATATTGTATCAAGATATGCCATCAACTCACTCTTTTAACTACATGCAGAATCTATATGGGCATGATGTCAAAATGGGTGTTTAATTGAGAAACAAGATACCTGCTGTATTTTATAGAAAATGTTAAGGTACCTGACATTGCTTTTCTATCCCTGATTGAAATGAATTGCACAAAGTGTATCATGCTTTTGCATTAATTTTAACCTTGTTTCTCAGTTTCAAAACTCATTTGAATCTGCTTTGTTGTAGTTTTCTGGCTTATCGCATTGTATGATTTTATTTTTCTGTCATATTAAATGTGTTAGCCTACAGACCATGTTTTTAGGACAATAAAATGATCTTGAATCATTAAATAAGTAACATTTGTAATGCGACTTTGTTCTTTTTCTTGTAATTACAATAGTTCATGTACAGGATGAACAACTATTTCCTTAATAGTATTTTTCTTGAAAGAACTACAGTATAGACATTTATGCAAGTAGTTAAATGCAATTTAGAGGTGCTTGTACTTAAGTGCCATTGAATGCCACTTTTTGCTACTTCAAACTTATGCTCAACTCCGTTTCAGAGACAAAATGTACTTTTTATATCTATTTGATAACTAGTTAACATGCAGATAGGTATTTTTGCATGAGTATGTTATTCAAAAGAGATTCTGATGCTTTTGTACATACAATTTGATTGTATGAATTTTATTTTTAGAGTATTTCTGCATTGTGTTATTAATTTTTACGTAAGAAAAAATAAATTTAGCTCTTCCACCAATGTATAATTTTTTTTTTTTTAGCCAGGATTTATTTTACCAGATTTCAATTTCATCCACGATCTTCATCAGCGGGGAGATTTGTAAAACAAAGACTTGGATAGAAAACGCTATGGTTTACGTTGAAACGCTCAGAGGGGGCTCTCGCCCGGGGAGTAGTTCAATGTAGAACCGCCACTGACATTACATGCATTTATTGATGTATAGTGCGATATATAAGGCCTCGTGTGCTATTCCTTATTAACCTCATCGGTATAGCAAAATTCAGGCGGCTTTATCAGAGTCAACCAATAAAAACACAGCTTCAACTTGTGACGTTCATCTCATCCAATGGTGTCATAGCTTCTTGCGACTACATCGTTTCCATTGGCAACGGGCACTGTGTTTACGCCGTTCTGAAGTATGGTTCCGACACTATATGACCAGCTAATGTTCGCGTTAAAAAGGAATTTAGTTTCGTTTTACAGACCGCGACTTGCTTCATGTGCTCCTGTCGCGGTGTAGATTTTGATACAGATTATATCTGTTAGTCGGTTTTGATAGCTGGCATGTGAATAAATCGCGTTTGCCAACTAGCTGCTAGCTAACGTTGCCTCACCGTGCTAATCTCCTTAATCCCAACCCACCCCCCCACCACCACCTTTTTCATTACTTTTTTAAACCACTGGGCATTTCACCAACAAGTTGTGAATGACATATGGCTAAAATGGGCTGCAACTAATGATCCCTGAAGGTTTACTGTATAACCGAATAACCTACCTGGAAGATTTGGCGTTATACCATACCATTTGCCCTGGAGATTACACAACAGTAGTGAATGAAAATGGAAATCTACTTAAATCGAGTTGATTACATGCAGGTAACACAAAGTAGAGTCAGTGGTTTATTGCGTTAATTGTGCTCTTTTATTTTATTCTACACTCAGATTTTGAATAACTACCCGCATACTCCTGCATGTTACATTTAAATAAGGTTGTTTCTGATCTAATACCTGGTCATTTCTGTTTTGTCCTCTGAGGTTGGTGTGACATCCCAGAAAACTATGAGGCTGCTTCCAGCGCTGGGGAAAAAGGCAACCCAAAAGGTACTCTGCTACCATCACAACAATACCTGTGCTTATCTGGCTGTTTTTTCATATGTGCAGCGGTTTTAGGCACTAAAACTAAAGTGTTGGTTCTTTCAAAAATAATGTCACTAATAGCTGAAATTCATTAAATAACTTCATACTATGTGCAAAAAGCATACCTGTGCACAGAGCAGCTGGCAGATAGGTTGCTCCAACATCTTGGAGAACCTGCCTCTGTTTCTCTGAGGGTTTAAACTGTCTCTCAGTGTCTCTTCACACTTTCTCAGTGATGTTGAGAACAGGGCTTTGTCGGGACCAAGCCATCTGTTGCAGGACTATTTGTGCTTTGTGTCACTGAAGTTGGTTCTTTGTGACTGTGGCTGGATGTTTTCAGTGTTTTCATGCTGCAGAATGAATGTGGAACCAATCAGACACCTTCCTGGTAGTATTATGTGGTGGACAAAAATCTAAACTTCTAAAGTGCCTAAACTTTTGCACAATACTGTAGCCAGGTTACTTTGATGTTTTAATCATACAGCTGTTTAATATTACATCTTTATGGTCCTTCATTAGTCTCTTTCTTTCAGGTTGCTATTGCTGATCACAATGGCATAGTGACCTGTTTTGGAATGAAGAAGGGAGAGGCAGTGGTGGGTATCTCGGTTGAGCTAAGATTTTTCTCTCACTGATGTACAGTTAATGATATTTGAGTGTGATGAATTTCAGTCAAAGGATGGTAATATCAAGAAATGTGACTGTGTTTCAGCCTGTCTTCAAAACTCTCCCAGGGCAAAAGATAGTCAGAATGGACCTGGGAGGAACTGTGGGAACTCCACAGGAGAAGATCTTTGTCTGTTGTGGTTCTCAGGTCCGAGGATTCACCAAGAAAGGCAAACAGTTCCTCACATTTGAAGCCAATCTCACTGAGACTATAAATGCCATGTAAGAATTGCTTTCCATCATTTCGACTGACACTGCTTTAATAACTTGTGTAGAACTGCGTGGGTTTTAGCATACTGAGCAATGTGGGTAATTTCTTTTGCAGGCATGTCTCAGGCACTGACCTTTTTGTGTGTGCCAGTTATATCTACAACCACTACTGTGACTGCAAGGATCAGGACTATTACCTTTCTGGAGACAAAATCAATGATATCACATGCTTGTCCTCAGAGAATCTGACTCGCCTCATCCCGGTCCTGGCATGCCAAGATCGGGTTCTCAGAGTCTTGCAGGTAGACCAGGCTCATACTTATTGTCCTTACTTTGATGCAGTGAGTTGTTTTACCTAAAAAAAAATCTGATGAGAATTACTTTGTACTTTTTTTTAAAATCATGTAGGGATCTGAGCTTGCCTATGAAATTGAAGTCCCTGGCCCTCCATCTGTCCTGGAACTGTACAACAAAGATGAAGGCAAGTTAACCTCATTAGAACAATAATCTCTTTGCACTGCTTTATACATAACAGATGTAACATAATGCCCATATGTTTTGGTACAGAAGAGGAAATCCTGTATGGAACTACAGATGGAAAAATAGGATTAGTCCAGATCGGTGAACACTCAGCTGCGACCAAATGGGAGATGGACAATGACAAAAAGAAAGGAGGTATGTTTTTATGGGACCACATGCGTGTGTTGCGTATTTTAACCAATCAAATGCAAAATGAACACCAACAATTCTCTACAGCATATGAGATCTAACTTCGAGGAGGTGAGGAAACCATAATGGTAAACCGTTTGCCTTCACTTATTTATTTTTAATCATGGTTACAATGTTTTTTGGTATTATGATAAGAGTTGTTTTGCTGTTATTGGTGTTTTGACCTGTTGTTGTTTTAAAGATGCTCTGGCTTCTTAGATGTACACTTTTCTGTGTCTGACCAGGAATTCTTTGCATTGACACATATGACATTATTGGAGACGGAGTGAATGACATCCTTGTGGGCAGGGATGATGGCACAATTGAAGTCTATGGTTTTGACAGCAACAGTGAGCCCACATTACGCTTTGAGCATGTGAGTTTATTTTTAGCACAACTCAGTAAAAACATTTACTCACTCCAATTTCCATCCCAGTTCAGTCCTATTTATAGTTTTCAGTGGCTTATACAGAAAAGCTGTGTCCACTCAGACCGCAGCTGTATGGTATATTGTGATGTTTAGCCAAAGACTCGGATATGATTGTTTATTTTTGTAAGTATCATGCAGCCATATTATATTGCATTCATACTGTTCAGCTCAACTCTAGAAAAGACAAGCCTTTGCATCTGTTGGTTGCTTTCCAAATGGCTTAAATGTTTATCATATAAAATTGTATTACTTTTATTACCATGTTGACAGAAGTGCATTGATCTTTTTGGTATTACTTAATTGATGCAGGTCAGTGTTGGTCAAAGTTTACTCTCTTCCATGATTATAGGTGTTGTCAGAAAGCGTAACCTCCATCCAGGGTGGCTGCGTGGGCAAAGAGTCTTATGATGAGGTTTTGACTGCCACATATACAGGTTAGATAAAAAGACAAAAAAATTAAAAATTGTGTGCCAGGTATTCCTTATTTTCTATCAGAGAAGAAAAATGCTCATCTCTAACTGTCCATTGATGAGAGCGATAACTGCTTGCTCAGCATCTACTATGGGTTACTTAAACCTAAGTGTCACTATTTAAGAGTGGAGTAGCAGTAGTATGGGATGTTATATCCATTGCTACAATTGCCTCTTACAGGATGGGTCACTGGTTTAACCACTGAGCCCCAGAAGGCTGAGGCTGGCCATGGAGATGTGGTCAGGATGAGTAAGGAGATACAGTCCAAAGTAGAGGCACTCAGGTATCAGCGAAATAGCACTTTTTGTCTCATTACACAATATGCTCTTGTACCTTTGATGTGTTTGACTTATACTGGTTGAAGTTGAATTTCTATGTTAAACTTTTCTGCAGTCAGTCATTTTGTTACCTTCTAGGACGGAGCTGGAGCAGCTGCAGCTCAAAGTGATGCAAGGGCGTGAGAAGTACCAGCAGAACGCCCAGTCAAGCACAGCTGTCTCTGCTGTGCCTATCTTCAGCATCAATGACAAGTTCACTCTCTGCCAGGACGATGCAAGCTACAGCCTCACCCTAGAGGTGCAGACTGCCATTGATCATCTGCTGCTCCAGGTAGACCCAGCATCAAACCCTGCTGTCAGAGTAGGATTGCTCTACTACTCTTGAGCTCACATTACAGACATAAACATTCAAAATGCAACTTAAAAATTACTCTTCTACACAGAGTGATGTTCCAATAGACCTGCTGGATGTGGATAAGAACTCAGCTGTTGTTAGTTTTAGTGAATGTGACTCAGAGGTGAGTTGTGTAAACTCTTTCTATTCAGGACAAACATATGAACCTGCTGCTGCTCCCAGTGGCCTGACTCTTTTATTCTGTTTGCAGCAGCCTAATGGGAACTTCCTCCTGGCCACATACAGATGTCAAGCCAACACTACCAGACTTGAGCTCAAGGTTAAAAAAGTGCATCAAAACTTGTTGTATTTAGGGTATTTTCTTTTACCGTATGTAGTTAGGCATTACTTAAACTCTGTGCAATTATAACAGTTGTACAAATACCTCAGTACAGCAGTGGGCCTTTTTCTGTCTCATTATTAATGTCAGACAGAACTAATATTGCCACTTTACACAAAACCCTCCTGCAGGCTTATGTACCTCATATATATAAATAAAAAAGAATGGTTACCTAATCCACTTGCTTCAACTTTCTATGGAATGATGCACTACCGAAAAGTAATGTAAATAAACTTGTCCTAGGTGAGGTCTATTGAGGGACAGTATGGGACCCTGCAGGCTTACATTACTCCCAGACTCCAGCCCAAGACCTGCCAGGTCCGCCAGTACCAAATCAAACCTCTGTCACTTCACCAGCGGACTCACAGCATAGACCAAGACAGGTAAAGCCTGAAACCAAAAAAAGAGAACAGAATTTGGACCGGACTGAATTTTGAAAACTTTGTTTTCTTAAGAAATAAAATGTATTTAGCAATCAACTCTGATCTTGAATATTATTCCTGTGCTTTTCCAAACTCCAAGGCAAAGGTTTGGTTAGTTGTTAGTGCCCAAACCCAGGTTAATGTGAATCCCACTTGAATAGCAGCTCTCATCAGATTAGTTCAGAATGACTGAAGTGACACTTTACTCTGAATTAGAGTGATGCCTTCAGCTGGATTTAGAAGCACAATAACATTATTTCTAACTAGAACAACCAATACAACATGATGTTATACTAAAAGCAATATTTAATTGTTAAATTTTATGTTAAAGCTTTAAAAAAGCCTTATATCAAGTGCATGACCTGTTGAGTCCTTTAATAATGAAAAGTTAGAGGTCACTCCAGGTTTTTTATTGTTTATTATACAAATTTGACTTTTAATAATTAGTGCCTTAGTAGTGCCATACAAATTAAGTTAATAACAGTAACATGGCAGTGATGTGACTGACATAATCTCAGTGTTTTGTCATGATTCTGACCATACAATGTCTCTTACTGTGTTTGTCTTTGATACAGGCCCATGAACAGACTCAGTCTAGTGGGACAGTTCAGCTTTGCAGAGATCCACTCCTGGGTGGTCTTCTGTTTGCCTGAGGTACCTGAGAAGACGCCAGCAGGAGACTGCATCACTTTCTGTTTCCAGAACACTTTCCTTGGCACACAACTTGAAAGCACCTACTGGTAAATGCAAGTAAATGCACATAGTACAGCGGCTCTAGGCATGCATATACTCTAAGTGCATGAAGCGGTCAGGTGGTGCTAGAAAAATTCATTTTATGTCTTAAATATTCATGGTTTATTTGTACTCTTTATCAAATTAGAATCAAACATCGTTTCTGAATTTGTAATTTTAGCAAAGGAGAGGTTCACTTCAGGTCTGACAACATCTCTACCATCTCCATATTGAGTGATGTCCTCTCTAAAGAAGCTACCAAGAAGAAAATCAATCTGAATATTTCATATGGTAGGTATATAGTTGTTCTCAGTCAGTATCTGTTTCAGTCATTGATCTACAGTAAATTAAATTGTGCTGGATTATTTTTCTTTGGTTTATTAATCTTCCAGATTTGATTTATTTGATTTATTCTTTCTTTCAAGCATGTAACGACAGTTGATATGTCAACACACATAACTTTACACATATCCAACAAATGCAAATCCAATATCAATTTCCTTATACCTAGTACACGCTTGAATGGAGTAGGAAGAAGTCAGACTTATCCAGTCCTACCCCATGACATCATCTTACCATCATTGGTTTGCAAGCAGTATCTCTACATAGATAATTCTCTTCTACACCACACAAGTAATATACTAAAAAAATTATAACAGAGTGTTAACATTCTTACATAATTATCTTCTACACCACACAAGTAATATACTAAAGAATTATTACAAAGTGTTAACATTCATACCACACCCACAATGTTCCATCTGGTTAATCATTAAGCCTGTTCTTGCATATATCTTCAGATATTAACGACAACTCCGTGAGCCACACCCTTAAGATGATCCACCCGAAGCTGGAGTACCAGTTACTCCTGGCTAGAAAAGTTCAGCTTATTGATGCACTTAAAGTAAGTGTTGGTTCATTCTTACTGGAAAAACCCAGTCTGGCATATTTTTTCTCTTTTCTGCAGATAACTAGAAAAACATCAGATGTTGGTGTGAGGCCCTCAGAGTCAGATTCAATCATTGTGTCCCAAAGCTATACTCAAAACATATGAGTACTAAAAAAAAACTTGATTTTTGAGTGTAAAATAATGAACTGCAGGAAGTGCTCATTGCTGGAAAATGTGGTGGGTGCAGAAACAGCTCCAGGAACAGGAACTGATACATTTTTGTTTTTGGCAAAATATTTTTGCTATTTGTATACTAGCTGCAAAAATATATACTATAAAGATCAGTATATACTGTATATAACTAGCATTTATTATGGACTGGGAAACAGAGAAAGAGTGGCGGGGGGCTCTTTCTAAAGTTGCATTTTTCACACATTCACTCAGACAAGAAAACGTCTTTTGCAGAAAACGTTTCTGGGCTTGTATTCATAAACATTCTGAGACTGACCTTTTAACCTGAGCTTTTAACCCTTAGCTTAGAGTCCTAGCTTAAAAGTGATTTAGGAAACAGCTCAGAGAAGCCGTGAGTAAGGAAAACTCAAAAACCTTTATCTCAGTGAGGTAAAGGTGACTCCATTGCTAGGCATGTTGATTATGTCGGGGTTGTGCCAGCCACTGAAAGGTGACACATAACTCACTGTCTTAGTGTGGTGTTATAAGTTTGCAGCCTGGAGCCCTTGGTCCTAGGTATTATTTTAACCCCACATAAGAAAACCAAGTGAGAGACTGTTTTCAAATCTCGCTGCAATGAAATTATAAATAAAAAGTGACTGCCGCTGAATGTAAGGACATTCCCTCGGCACAACATTTCAGCCGATCATGTCTCAATGAGCCAGCTTTGTTGAAGGCAGAGCTCAGCTAAAGGCAGCAGGATTACTATGCTGGAAATTTTAGTAGTTATTCACCCAATCTATTTAATATTAACTGGTGACAATGTCTCAAAAGTGTCTTAATTTTCTTATGGTACAATGGTGTGTAGGCTATGTCCATGAGTCTGCAAGATGTGAACATACAGTGGAAATGAAATGTGTGCATCACAACGTGAGACATGAAAGTCTTGTAACAGTTTGTGTGATCACTCTGCTGATGGGAGGTTGTGACAGAAATGTTATCAGTGCTGCACTGTTTCATTTTAGTTGCCAAATATCTGAATGTTGTGATCCCTTTCCTTTCTGGTGTTCTGGCATGATTGCGTTGTGTGGGAGATGTGCATACATTTCTAATGAAATCAACCATAACCATTATCAGTGCATGATCTAATCTATAGCATTTGATTAACTCACTGTTGGTCTCCTAAGCCTCTTAAAAGTCTTCCTCCCTACTTCTGTTTTCCACCTTAGGAGCTCTTTTATGGTTAAGATGCTTTGTGAATTGCTTTTATCTTTACTAGGATCTACTCCTAACATTTAAGGGTAAGTCTTGGGAAATGTCTACAAGTCTAACGTTTTTCTTAGGATTTTGTCCCTAAGAGCAACTCTTTGCACTAGGAATGTTTATGAATATGGACCCACGTTTCCATAGCCACAGCAGCTTATAGATCAGAATACAGTGAAGCTTTAAGACAACTTATATTTTAATGTGATCACATGCAGCTAAATCATCACTGTTTCAGTTCATTTACTGTGTGTGGCCATAAGCCCACATACTGTATGGCTGTGGCAGCGGTTTTCATCCCTGCTCTAAGGCTTTTTGGTAGATGCTTAGGTCCACCTCTTACTTATCCTGCTTCCTCTCTGATTGGCAGGAGCTTCAGGTTCATGAGGGAAATGCTGACTTCCTTATCCCAGAGTATCGCAGCATCTTGGATGAATCTGCTAATCTCCTTGAAGAGTACAAGAAGCAGCCAGCGCACCTTGAGAGGCTTTACGGTACGGTGTTTAACAGCGACCTTTAACTGAGAGTCATTATCATTACATTCCACTGGCACTCTCATCCAAAGCCTCAGTGTATTAAGTTTGTCAGTTGGGTTTACCTAGTATTTTTTGGTCTCTTCTTCTTTCCTGTAGGAATGATCACAGACCTCTTCATTGACAAGTTTAAGTTCAAAGGCCAGAATGTGAAAGCCAAGGTGTCCTCATTGTTGGAGATACTGGATAACTATGACTTAAATTCACTGTTGGAATTTTTCTGTGAGGCATGATGGATCATGTAGATGAGAAGGTATTTATTTACTTGTCTTTGAGGGTCTTTATTTTTGAGAGTCTTCTATTTGTTTGTATTGTAAACATTATTAGAACTCAACTGTCATACTGTAATTTAGGTACAGTTTGTCCTAATTATGATATAAAATATTAAAATTTTTTAATAGCTTTTGATATTATCTATAACAACGGTGGTGATTAATAAACTACTACAAAGCTGCCAGTGTGTTGCAGGTTACTTTTTTATTTGTTGCTGATGTTTGAAACTTATGTGACCAAATATAAGCCAGTTAAAAGCACATTGAATGTATATAGGTTTTTGTATAACATTACATACAGGCTATCATAGGACTGTAAGTTCCCCCCTTTGAAATAAATATCAGATCTTATTTATAACCGTTGTAGGATTCATTGTTCATATGTTGCAGGTATGTTCACTGCACCTTAATCCTGCAATAAGTAATATTTTTAATACTTTATTATTTTGCAGCTAATATGTTGTCACATAAGCAAAAAATTGGAGTGCAAAACTTCCTTGTATTTTGGTAGTGTAATGTTTCTGCTTTTATGCAAATAAAATATCATTATAAGTCTTTGTCATAAGTCACAAACCACAGTTATTTAAGGTTTTACGTGAACTCATATATGGCAGTAGCACATTAAATCACAAGCACAGCTGTTATTATTATATAACGCCTACACATAATGCTATATTTACGTTAAAGCGTAAAAGCGGTTTCGAGTTTGTAATTAAACAAATATTGGATTGTTTTGGCTCCCGTAACTCTAACACGTCACATCTTGTGTGGCCTGTGATTGGTTCGTTTCAATCCTCGCGGGCTACTTGAACGGAGCAAAGCAGCATTTCTAAATGTTTCTGTGTAGATGGACAAAAACTAGCAAGTGCCTGGTTTGCAGGTTGGTGGTAACTTTGAAACTTTCAAGTATGGCGACTTAGAATTACATTATTTTATGTTGTAGTCTAAAGCGCCAACGGTGCATTTTTTGATTTGTGTGCTTTCTTTTAGCTTTGCAGTTCCAAGCGTGGTTGCCATCTCAACTGCTTAGTTTTGATTGAACGATTCTTTAAACTTCGTAGGCAAGGCTAGCTTAATGCTAGCCTCCGTATGATCATACGTAAGTGGTCTTTGTAGCTAGTTCATTTTATATTTTTGCAAACGAAAGCACACACGACACCTGTATTTATTATCTCGCTAACCACGAGTGGAAACGTGGGCTTTTTTTTGTTTAAGTGGAAACATGTCAGTAGCTAACGGTGGACAGGGAAACGCGGCTAGTGAGAATCACAACCAAGAAAACATGCTATCAAAAAGAGGCTCGCTAAAACTCCGAGCTGCTGCAAGCGAAAACCAAGAGAATCTTCCTCCGAAACAACTCGCTGGGAGAACCGTTTTGGGACCTCTGCAAAACAACCGCCGCAGCAAAACTCAGAACCAACGCGGCACAAAACAGGTTGGTTTGAATGACGTTAGCTAGCTATGCTGAATAGCTCACTTAGCTGAGCTAAGTTGCAGGTTGCAAATTTGGTCTAGTAACAATGGGGAGCCACTGTAGCTTTTTAGAGACTATTACTTTCATCAGGTCCTTTTATTAAACAATGCTTTGTCTTGATAAAGTGACTCAACAGCAAGTGTTGAGTTGTTCAAACCTGCACATGTATTTGATGTAGCTACAGTTAAGTTTGTTATACAGGTTGTCCGCCATTTTAATATCGCCATTAGTGCTACACTTGTCTCTATTTTGTTCAGCTGCTTTAATTGAACATCCTAGCCTTGATTTCAGATAATCTATATTAACAGTTAGGCGAGCCTCCGCCTTACACGTCCACCGTAACAACTGAGCAACTAACAAATGCTGGCATCTTGTTTTTGCAGTTTTTAGTCCAGTGCAACAGATAAATGCTCTAACAATAACGCTGCTTTCCCTTGCTTCATAAACCAAATTCGTGTCACCACAGATTATCACTTATGCTATGCTTTATTGCAACATTTTGTTTTATGCTACCTTGTTGAAAAATTTATCTTTGATGGGGGCAATGATTAAAACTTACTCTTTGTGTGTTCAGGAGACATCACAGCCATTGTCTTGTAAAAATGAAGATTTTGGTAAAAGCTGCTACGAGAAGCCCTCTACCAAGCAGCCCTCTTTCCAGATCCATTTGGATGACCCTGATGGCGCCACCTGCATCAAGAAGCAGCAGAAGATGGTGGAACCTGTCCGACTAAAATGTATCAGTGAAGAGTCCCATCTGATCAACAATGCTGTGGCCCAGCTCAGACAACCCCTTGCCACTATTGATATTCCATCTGCAATGGATGTCAGCTTTGGTGGGTTGGATATTTCTGATTTTCATTATGCTACTTGGTAGCAGGGCAGTGCACAAAATGGCCTTTAATCAGTTTTTATTTATGGGCACTGTAGTTTACAACTGTGTGGTAAATCTGTCTATGCCTTACCTAAAGCATTTTGAGTTTACTTCAGGCATGAAAAATGTGTTAAATAAAACCTGCCTTGCCTTTGATTAGATTCTCTCATGGACATGTCTGTGGCCGAGGAGGAGGGGAAAGTTCCCGATGTTAATGAGGTTCCAGAGTATGCTGCTGAAATTCACACGTACCTGAGGGAAATGGAGGTGAGCAGTTGAAGGCTACTTTTCTGATCTTGCCTACAAGATTTGGGTTTGAACAGTGTTGTTGCTTAACAGGTAAAAACGAGGCCCAAAGCAGGCTACATGAAGAAGCAACCAGACATCACCAATAGCATGAGGGCCATCCTTGTGGACTGGCTGGTTGAGGTTGGAGAAGAGTACAAGCTCCAGAATGAAACTCTTTATCTGGCTGTCAACTACATCGATCGTTTCCTGTCTTCAATGTCTGTCCTGAGGGGGAAGCTTCAGCTGGTCGGGACTGCTGCTATGTTACTGGCTTCGTATGTATCTTGTTTAGTCAGTTCAAATTACAAAGTATGGCAACTGCTTGCTTATTTAAATGTTCAAATGCAGGAAATTTGAAGAAATCTACCCCCCAGAGGTGGCAGAGTTTGTTTACATCACAGATGACACCTACACCAAGAAGCAAGTGTTAAAAATGGAGCATCTGGTCCTTAAAGTGCTCTGCTTTGATCTGGCAGCACCAACCATCAACCAGTTTCTCACCCAGTACTTTCTCCATCAGTCTGCTAACAAACAAGTGGAGAGCTTGGCAATGGTGAGCATGCAGCAGTTGCAAAAAACAGTTTCCTGTCTTGAACATACTTATTCTGTTTCTCTAAGATGCAAAAGATGTCACCAGTCTTAATGCAAAAAAAAAATGCATGGGCATGCAGTGCCTATAAAGTATTCACCCCTTTGGGTGTTTTACCCTTTTAGTAACGTGTGTATCTAAACAATTGGACATAACCTTACACTTTAAGACAAATATTAAGACTAGCATTACTGTTGACACTAAAAGCTCTTTTCCTGTAACCTTGGCGTGCCTGCAATCCCTGCAGGCTGAATAGTTACAGCAAGCTAGTCACCCTGTCTGCACTAAACATTCATAGACAACAGATCTCTAATCCATATCTATCTAACTAAGAAATAACCTAACATCTGTCACGGTGAAAACGGGTTTCTACAAAGTAATGTCAAATTAAAAAATGTAATGGGGAAATGGTGATTGCATAAACATTCACAGCATTTAAAATGACCCAATTCAAGAGGCCCTGCCAATTGGTGCTAGTAGTTTCACAACTGGTGAAATGGGGTTCACCGGAGTGCAGTGATTGTAGTATAGACACTGGTGTCTGGAAGGTCCAGTCAATGGTTAGTCAGCATTCCTGGCTACCATCACACCATTTTTGAAGACAAAAGAACACAAAGCAAGTCGGAGAAAAGGTTATTGAAAAGTATAAGTCTGGGTGATTTGTAAAACATCCTGGGGGTGTATGTGCGCTGTAGCTCAGCCTTGTTCTTTGTTTTTTCAGTATCTTGGGGAGCTCAGTCTGGTTGATTCAGATCCGTTCTTGAAATACCTGCCATCACAGACTGCTGCTGCAGCCTACGTCTTAGCAAACCACACAGTAACTGGTCACTCATGGGTAAGTTCAGGGGCAGAATAGAGCTATTGGTTTAACAAAGAATGTGTAGCATCTTTTTTTAACTAAGCTTTTTTTTTTTTTTCCTTGGATAAAATTCTTAATGCAACACTTTCCTTTGAGTTTGATTTATCTTTCTCACTGTTCAGATTAAACTAGCAAATCAAAGATCAGTTTCTGACACTTCTATTTGTCAGTTATAATGATTCACTGGAAATTTGTCATAACTCTTAAATTTTGTTATTTAAGCTTTCTCCTTTTTTTTCCCCCAAGTTTGACTTTCTGAAATCCAATCACTGTAATCAGGACAGTCTTTGCTAGCTTCTGTAACAGTTTACTGTGTGTGAGAGAGAGAGAAAACATGCAAGATAACTTGGGTTTTTGTCCTCTTCAGCCCAAGTCCTTAACAGAAATAACCGGATACTCCCTGGAGGATCTGATGCCATGTATCAAGGATCTGCACCAAATGCACCTCAGTGCTCCTCAGCATGCCCAGCAGTCTGTCCGAGAGAAGTACAAGGGCTCAAAGTAGGTAACACTGAAACTACCTCAGGTGTGAATTGCTGTTTACATAGGCCATTAATTGTTCTGCTGCCTTTGACTTGACACTGTTGCTTTCCTAGGTACCTTGAAGTTTCCTGCATTGACGCTCCAACTACATTGCTGCTGAACTGACCCACTCCCTTCTCCATGTAGTTTTTTTTTGCTGCTGAACTGACCCACTCCCTTCTCATGTAGTTTTTCCCCCCCCCTCCCCCTAATGATGTGTGCCAGAACTTCGAAATGGCCTGCTCTTCTTGGAGTAGAGCTAGATTGGTGTTTTTTTTTTTTTTTTTACAGAATTTTTATATACACATTCATGCCAGATGCTAACAGTTGTTAGTTAATCAAGCAGTTTTAATGGTTTGACTTTTAATCAAACAATGTAAAGGGCTCAACCTTTGAGAGGTGCAACCTTCAAATATTCAGCCTCACGGGAAGCTGATTAAAGTGTTTGTCATGAGTCGGCTGTGTCATTACATTTGTGCCCTGGGATCTAAAGGCTTTTCAAGCCATTCTGCACTATCAACTATGGCTCTTGTAAATAAAAATCTTTTAAAGGCTTTCATTATGTAGCTGTGTGATCATATTGGACTCACGGGGGCAGCAGAGGACCAGTTTTATGCCTTTAAAAGTTCAGACCAGACTTTAAACTAGAGAAATGATACTCCTCTGGCCACTGGTAAGCCTGTGCTGTGCACAAATTCTATCTGTTGGAGTGGCGATGACTTAACGTGAATGAACCAAAAGCAGCTTCCAAAAATTGTACATCTGAATCAATACCTTTTGACAGCGTTTGAAGAGAAATTGAAAAGCTTGATCTTTACATGAGGTTTTATCTGTGTATACCATAAAACTTGCAGTTGGGTGTATATGTGTAAAGCAACATATTTTTGATGCAAACCCTGAACATAAAATATATAATTCATGTTCTTGAGCAGCTGCACAGTTTCCACAGGTAGACTGTCCACTGTGTGTAGGGAGATGCAAATGTAAGAATATGAATGGAAAAGATTGCCTCCGTTTATAAAGTCTGGCGTTTTCCACTTTTTTTTTTTTTCCACCCTGGAGAAAGTCACGTAAAGGCTGCTAATGGCTAC